CAGTGGGCGGGCAAAAAGAAGGGGAGAAGCAAAGACAAGCACACGTATACACTCACGCGCGCGCACACACACTCACATGTTATATTATATACATTTGCATGAAATAGAGAGAGCTCGGTCACCACACACAATAATACCTAAATCGGCCTATATACATGACTGTCGCTATATACGAGCGTGCACGTCGTCTACCAATTTACCTCGGCGGAACCTTGAACGGGAGCTTCAAAAATTCATCGGCCCGCAAGGACCCCTTCTGTACTCTCCCTCCACTCTTGTGATATATTTATGTATATATACACATATATATAAACGAGTATTATTGTTACGAGCAATTTTTATCCCCCCGACCTGTTATTGCATGTTATACAGATATATTAATACGCGTATTAGGTATAACTGTATTGTGTTTCTTGTCCTGGTATTGGCAAAAACCCGTCCGTAACAGCTTCGTGGGGACCATATTACTACCTTGCGAATCTCGAAATATATTATGCACATGTATTTTGTAAAAGCGGCCACATCAGCAAATCTTCATTGTGTTAGTATCAGTGGCTGTGCATAAAACATATGGTTCTGTAAGAGGAGGGGAAGAGATTTAGTAACAGGCTACGACAAAAAAAAACAGAAAGCTTATAAAAATTAGTGAGCCAAAACTTGCAGACATTAATTATTGTATTAAATTATTGTTTATCCATGCAAATTAAATGGGCTGTAAAAGGTAAAAATAATTAAGGGGGCAGACTATGTCCAGTGCACACAAGGATCGTGCACATTTTTGTTATGCACAGTTTGTTGAACACAAAATATTGTTCACATAAAAACGAAATATGTCCACATAAATTTTCGTACACAATATTTTATGCACAATATTTTTTGCCTAATTAGATTGTTTTTTTTTTCACAGTCAAATGTGATCAAAGTATCATGCATGCCATTATTTTTGGTTTTAACATTGGGCACAAACGATTTTAGGCACATTTTTTTGTGCACAACCAATGGTTATTTGTACACATGGCGAAAAGAGGGGGTGCACAGTTTACTCGAACCACTTTAAAAGAAATTTTATATGCCTGTGGTATTAATTTTTATTAAAACAAAAAAATTAGTCAAAGAGTGATCGTAAAACGAGGTTCGTGATAGTTGTATGATATTGATATGCTATAGAGTCAATCATCGAACAGATCGAAAAAGAATATGCGGATATGCATCACCTTCATGTAATAGGGACTATAATTAAAAATCTGTTTTCTGGGGTGCATTGTTTACAGGAATGGTTAAATCCCAAATTTATTTTTAAATTTATTATTAAATTTCGATGGAAAATTAATTTTAAAATTATTGAAAAGACCAAGTTGTTCTAGAGGGGAATCCAAGGATAAAATCATAATTGGCTATGTGGAACAAGGTATGAGTTAAACATTAGCTAAAATAGAGCCACGTGATTTATGCGCACGTACTGACATTGAAAAACAGAAAGTTTAGAGATTCCATACTTGTAAAATGTTTGTATTTATATCGCATGCACTTTATTAATGGTTTGGTTATGTAAACTCAGCAGTGAATAATAATCTTTCGAAGTGCAATTAATTAAGACGTTAATAACTATTAATTATTTTTTCGTGTTAAGAAGTATTTTTATGATTTTTTTCATAAATTATTAGTATCATTGCTTACACTAAAATTTTCATCCTTGTTACAAATTTTGTGATTACTTCCGCGTGAAAGTTGAATTACACCATTCAATGAGACAAACAATTTTTTAATTTTTTCATATTGTCGCTTTAAGTTTTTTTTGTAACGGGAAGTTCGTGAAAGTAGTTCATTACTGTATTTGTGTTCTATATGTATATGATTTGTATAGGTTGTGTGGACAGAGCTATTTGACAGGTAAATTTAACTACATACACACTGGACAGGATAAACTAAATTGAATTGTATTTAGGATGAGTTTTGCAAAAAATCACTATCAGTATGGTTAAAAAAAAAAAAAAAAAAAAAATTTTCATTTAAAAATCGGAGACATATTTTTTGTGGATTTCCTCGTATGATGTGTGTATCCGTGTTTCATGCGCTGCGGCAGGAGCACAAGTTATAAGTATACAACGATAGTTTCGAGCGCCATAAGGATGCGGTCCTGTACACCCCACTCGAAGGAGAAGAGCTGTGGCAGTGGTCGTGCATTATCACCGGCTGTACCTCGTCGAGTGGAAAAAGGAGGCATTTTTCCACACACGTGCGTCCGACGATCCCCACACACACACACACACACACACACGCACACACGAAAAAAGGGAAGCTGACTATCTTTTGATCTGCGTATATACGTGTATATTGTACGCGATTGTGTACGACTGTAAGGGGAAGGAAAAGGTATATCGCTTATACGCAAGAGAGAGGGAGGGACGGCGGCGGCTCGTTAAAAAATTCAGAGCACCCCCCGAGGATAAGTGCGCAGACACGCGCACACTATGATCCGACCCGCTCTACAGGCGATATCGCGCTCTGTGTCCGTATATATGTGTGTGTATACGTGTAGGGATCAAGCATCTTCGTCTTGCCCCTCTGATGGAATCTCTTTTTCGGTATACATAGGTAGGTACGAGTAAGAAGGTGGGGATCATTTTTTTAGGGGGTGCCTTTGATTGCGCTCGGATCCATGTCGCTTCCTGATATATATA